TTAAATAATTCATTGTTGCTTTTTGGGCAGAGGATTTAACATCTTCCTCACTTGATTGTATTGGAAGGTCCAGCTTTTTTTCTTTTTGGTCATTGTTTGCATGGCATATATTTTTATTTTATGTTTAATCTATGCATTTATATTTTAAATGGATTCCTTTTAGGATAGAATATATCAGGGTCTTACTTTTATCCAATCTGGTAATCTCTTTTTTAAATTGTTATCCTCAGGCTATTGGCTTTTAATATTAATATTGATCTTGTTAGATTTAGGCCCACCATTTTATTATTAGTTTTTTCTTTGTAACCTCTGGTTTTGTTTCTTTGTTCCCTCTTTCTTCCTTTTTTGGTATTATTTAAATATACCTTAGTATTCCATTTTAATGCATTTACTGACTTTCTGGATTTATTCTTTTTTTTGTATTTATTTTATTTTTAGTTATTGTTTTAGGAATTACATTATACATATCTTTGAAAATCTACCTGGAAACTCCTTTTACTTTTTCCCCCACTGACCTTTGTGTTATACTTAACATAAGTAGTATATCTTCATATACTAAAAACCATATCAGATAATGCTATAATTTTTACTTTCAGCAGTCACGCATATCTTAAAAAACTTAAAAGGAGAAAAGAAACAGTATATTTACCTAGATATAGTAACTTTTAAATTTGAAGACAGTAGCTAAAAGTTAGAAAATTTGGCAAAAGACAAATTTAGAAATTTAAGAGCTCAGCAGGCCCTAAATAGGATAAATTCAAAGAAAGTGACTTACATTTACATCATAATTAGCCCACTAATGACTGAAGAAAAAGAATAAATTTTGAAAGTACCTAAAGAAACAGTGATTAAAAAAAATCAAAAACTGAATTTTTTCTCAGATACCATGAAGACTTAATTAGAAAAACATCTTTAAAGTCCTAAAGTTAAAGAATGGTCACTCCAGAATTCTGAATCTAATGAAAAAAATCTTAAGGAATTATAGCGATAAAAAGACATTCCCAGATAAAGGAAAAAATAAGAGAATTTGTTATCAGCATACCTGCTGTAAAAGAAATGCTAAAAGTTTTTCAGTCTAATGGAAATAGTTCTGTTTCTTTATTCCTGCCTGATATGTTGCTGCCCCAAGTTTATATCCTGTTTCTTGTTTTAAGTTAGAATACTTAGATAAGTTTTGACTCCATTGCTTTCTAAGAATGTATTTTCTAGTGGCTGAACTTAGCAAGTATATTTTTTAATTGATTATTGAAATTAAGATGTCCAATATAGTCTTAGATATGTGACCTGTTATAAAATGGTCTTGAAAATTGTGTTAGAGTTCACCTGAGAAGCTATTTAATTTTATTTCTCTTTCCTATATGCTTATAGTATGACAAAAATTGTTAATTTTTCAACTATATTATGGATAGCATTCAACTCAGTTTAATTGGAATAATAGCTCAATTTTTTTCTAACAATTGAAAAGACCTGTATATTAAGCTACTAAGAAAAATGTCCCTTTGTTGCATTTGAACATTTAATCTATGCAGTCCTGCATGTTTCAGATTTAATAAATGTTCTTTACTCATTTCATATAGGAAGTAAGAAACCTCAACGTCTTTTTCCCCTTCCCATTCCTCAGTCCTCTCATCTTTGGTACTAACAGTCTGTTTCCCCCTCCTTTTGTCAAAAGTGTTATTAATTTTAATATTTGAAATATGTGTGCATATCTGCCAAAGCAAAGTATAAAGATTGATCTGTTATTGAGACAGGGAAGTGACAAGGGGCAGCCCCTGTCCAGTTAGAGTAGGATACAGGCCCAACGAAAAGGACAAAACCTTACTGAGGCTTCAGGAATATAAAGGAAAATAGGATGCTTGTGGTTGAAGCCAGTGTAAAGGGAAATTCCACCCAAAACCCAGTGATATGGAATGGTTTGCTCACCATAGTCACATAGACATATGGGTTTAAAATAAGTTACTTTCACTGTGATTAGTGAAAACAGAGCTAGCATTCTGGAGTAAACCTATAAACAACAGATAGCTTATCTCCCTCCCTGATGCAACAGGCATAAAACCCCTGCACCTGAGCCCATAAGCGGCAGCCTTTCCCCTCCCGGCTTGCTTGGAGTTCTGTCCTTTCTCTGAATAAAAACCTTCCTCCTGCTTGGCTACCTTGAGCATTTGTGAAGTTCATTCTTTGACTCTGTGAACAAGAACCCTGGTATCATTACCAGTGTTAAAAGAAAATAATCAAATTATGGAAAATTTAAAATCATAATCACATATTAATTCCCCTTTTCACAATACAGTTAGACAGTGCTGAACTAAAATGGTGGGTGATAGCAGGACTTAGTAATCATTTTTGAAATAATGATGAGACTAATTTATTTTGCTTGTTCCCATGTGACATTTTTTAAAGATTTCTCAAATTTAAGTAGGTAGTTTATAGATATTGTAATTGAGAAGTACTGGTATAATTATAATTTCTTTTAACAAAAAATGAAGTTGTTAACATTGGCATCACTATAGCATGTAATCGTCTAGAAACTTTGAAATTATCTTTGGCTTTTTCCTATTTTCCTATTTTTCCATTTCCAATCAAGCATACCTGAGGCTTTTCTTAAAATAGCTCTGGAATTTGTCTTTAAATTCTGTTACACTGCCTTTCTAGTCAAATGTATGCTTGTTTTCTCAGCTTAGAATCTCTTTACATTTCATTGCTTTCTGCATATTAACCATTCTAATCTTTCCAAAGGAGTCCTTCTATCCTCTGAGAATCTTCAAGAGATGTCCTGTTCTCACTACAATGAGCCCAAGCTTCTGTACCCACTATTATTCATTATCATCCATGTCTCCACCCAGCCCTCAAATAAGAATTGACCTTATTTCCTACTCACACTCCTGTTGTGTCTTTGATACTTGCTGGGCTCCAGATAGCCCACTATGCATGCTGCATTAATTTTTTCACTTCTACACCTTTTCTGATGCTTTCAACCCTGTAGTCCTCTGCTGGGAGTGCCATATCCAGTTTCCTTTTGACCTCTTCAAGTTCCCATCTCCTTCAATACATTTTGCAAAAGCTTCTGCAACCCCTCATCTAACTCTTCTTTCTCTGAGCTGCTGTCACACACTGTCTCTCATATGTAAAGCGATTCTCAGTGGCAGAGACCTACTCTCCTCAGCACTTGGCCCCGTGGGGTGTAGTTGATTCATTGTATTTCTGTCCCATTTCACTCCTGTAATCACTTTATAAAGTGAGGTTAGAAAAGTTTCTAATTTCATTTTATTCAATTCTAAAACATGATTCTTCCCACAACTCCTACAGACCCTAAATCAGAAGCAATTTTTTATGTGAAATAGGCAGTCAGACTTAACCTAGATTAAATAATGTGCTAATGGAGCCAAGAGTAAAATTGACTCCCATGTCCATCAGTTAAGTTCAAATAGAACAAAACTCCCATAAAGTCATGGACTATTCACTGAATTTTACCTACTCTTCTTCAGGTATGTAAGTTATTCAGTATTTGGGAAATTGGGTGATAAAGTATAAACTTCCTAGAACAAATCCCTTGTCATGTTATAAAAATAAAAATGTATACTTGTATTGCTTTTATAAAAAAGTTTTTAAAAATATTCCTGTTAACATTAAGTCTCTAGGCTGGTAAACATTTTCTGTAAATGGTGAGATAGTAAATATTTTTAGGCTCCACAGGCCGCATATGGTCTCTGCCACACATCCTTTTTTCATTTAGTTGTTATTTTACTACCCCTTAAAAATGTAAAAACCAGTCTCAGCTCACAGGCAGTAAAAATGCAGGCCATGACCCAGATTTTGGCTGTAACCCATAGTTTGCCAACCCCAGGTCTGTTAACAGTGAAAAAAAGCTGATCTGTGTAGTTGGGCTTCCAAGCAGGCAGAAAATTTTCTGTCTCATAGAGAAGACTTTGCTCATCCTAATCCAAGCCCTGAACAAGCTGGAGTGTGCCTGGGGCAGGTGCAGCCAAGTGGCGGGAGCCTGGGAAACTTCGACCCCAGAGGAATGGCTCGTGGACCAGTCGGGATTAGAGAAGGCTGAGAGATGGCCTCACAGAGGTCTTCAGCTTGGAAGTTCTGTGATGAAAAAGTAGGCTTGTCCTGACTGCCCTTCCTGCACATCCTTGAGAGAAATGTGCTGTCCTGGGACAGAGTAAATGTTCTTCCCCCAAAGATTTCTCAGAACTTTCTCTACTCAGGATGTTTCCCTGGAAGGACAAAGTGCCTGTGAAGAACTTGCCAGCCTTCAGGCTTGGTGATCGGGTATATGACAAGGACATAATTGTACTCCCTGTGGAACAGATGACCACTATAAACATCAATAGTGAGGGAATAATAGAATAAATGGGAGGATTTCATTTGGGTGGGATTAAAGTAAATCTTTATAGGATATGTACACTGAGTGGATTTTTAAAAAGAAACCATATGGTTGGCTATATCTAAAAATGTTATCTACTGATAATTTCATTTTATTATTATAATCTGCCACAGTGAAAATTTCCAAAAGACATCCTAATTCTTAGTCCAGAAAATTTTTATTTAGTTCATAAGAACAAGGTGCACTTACCAGGATAATATAATTTATATTTTCAAGTCTCCTACTATCTGTTAGATAGAAGGTAAAATTACAAAAGTAGCAAAAATCTGGTACCTTTTGAGCAACTGTCATCCTTTTTTCATCCTAGTGATAACTTTTGATTCATCAAGAAGTAGAAGTCATAGTAACAGACTTTTGGCTCAGATTCACCACTTTGTCTCGCTCCTAATCTCCATGCCAGCACTTTTCTCCATTTAAAAAATTCTGGCATGCTAGCTTAAAGGTTGGATTATTTGTGTATTAGACCTAAATCCTGTGCTTCGGCATTCATGTCTATGGAAGTAGATGCAGCCACTAATTTTATTTGAACTGTTGCAGTAAAGATTTTTTAATTAATTTGAATAATTAATCAGGATGCAATTTATCTTAATTTTGATTTTGGTTGTAGAGGTTGGCGATTTGAAGGAGCTGCAGACACTAGACATTTCTACCAATCGTTTGCTAACTTTACCCGAGAGGCTTCACCTGTGCCTTTCTCTGCAGTACCTCACTGTGGACCGAAATCAGTTACGGTGTGTGCCGCGCCATCTCTGCCAGCTGCCCAGCCTCAATGAACTCTCCATGGCTGGAAACCGTCTCGCATTTTTGCCACTTGGTAAGTGATCCTGTTTATATGGTAAAGCGAAAAAGCCAAAGAGTGAGATGGAAAGCCTTTGTTTCCTTGACCATGAAGGATAAGTTAGTTTCCTTCATTTTGTTTGTCTTAAAGATTGCCTTTCTCAATCCATTCTTGCAGTGAACAAATAAATTTTCCCAGTTAACAAAGTTTATTTCAGTTGGGATTTCATATTTTCAAAAAGAAATCTGTGCTAAAAATTTGTTTAGGGATAAAACATATGAGATGATTTACTCTGAGAAAGGAACTGAAATATACGTATATATGTATAAAAATTTATTACATGTGTATATGTTATATATAAAGCTATAAAATTGGCAGGCAGTATTGAGCAATATGAAAAGATAACTACTGGTACAAACATACATGCTTAGATGTTGACTTCTATGTAGAAAACTTTGCATTGGGTATCCTAATGATTAGTATTGCCAGATAGATAGATTATAAATTTTATTTAAAGACTTAAAAATTGGCTGAACTTCCTGCTGAGCTAGAAATATCAGCCTAGCTAATAAATAACATGTTACCCACTGTAGATTTCTGTAGCTGGCTAATTTTGACATATATATGTAAAGAACATAGGCCTTTAATAAAATAATACATTTATTTTCATTGAGAATGTATTTATTTTGTTAACTTGTGAGAAACAAAAGTGCCATTTAAAAAGAATTAAAATATGAAGTCTCACAGAATCCTAAACTGTCACAAAAAAGCATCATATGATTTTACTCATAAAAGCATTTTTATAAATGAATAATTTATTTCTAAAGGCAATGAAGTGAATAATTTACTAATCCCTACAAGGAAATATTTTCCATCATAATACAGTGCACATTTTATTTTCAATTCAAAATAACTGGGAAACATGAGAATTGATTTGAATAATAAATAATCATCCAATTTAAGATTACTTTTCTATAGATATAATTAAATTCAACACTTAACAAAATAAAGGAAAAGCATTTCAGAAGCAAGCTGCCTTTCTAAAAAATCAGAGCTTTCTTTTAAGGGAGAAGAATATCAAATATAAATACACATTAAAAATATATACGTGCCTGCTGCATAAACTAGAGCTTATAGAACAATTATAGTGGACAGGCATCTACACATTCAAAGATGGGGGTGTTAGCCTGTTGCCACCACTTCACAGAATATGATCTGGGGTAAATCATCAAAACCTTTCCAAACTTCATTTTCCTTATCTGTAAACCAGAGGTAAACATTTATTCTGTTTACTTTTTAGTTATTTTGCTTTCTAATATGATAGCTTTTATATAAGAACTATAAAGCACAGTACAAATGCAGATGACTCTCAACTGAGAAAACACAACTTGTGAATTACATATCCTGCTGTTTATTGGTTTTACCCTACTCCTCATATTCAAGAACCTCCATAGTAACCACCAGGATTTATAGTTCCAACTTCCTAAGAACTATGGCTTATACCACTGCAAATGATTACGAGGGTGGTGCAGTCAATGCTGATAATACGAGTGGAGGACAGGAGGGAGGGATGAAGGGAGGTGATGGTTTGATTTGATTTGTGTGGTGCAAAACCCAACCGATTGGTATAACATCAAAGTTCAGGGTAAAGCTGGAAATTCTATTATAAGCAAACTTAGCATGGTTTGACTTTCAGGTGTTACCAGAGACAAATTAACTTAAGTCTGGGATGCCTATCCTATTAGTCATAGTATTATTATTGACTACATAGAAAGAATGTTTCCATGAGTAATAGTAGTACTGCAAGTATTCATAAGTATAATAGCAATCACTTATTGAAGCAAGTATTGTTAAGCACTGCACAGATGATGCTCTCTAACTTAATTATTACAAAACCTATTGACAACCTAATTTTACAGATAAAGAAATTAAGGTTCAGGGTAGTTAGTAACCTGCCCAGAATCACCGCTAGTGAGAGACCGAATTGACTTTCTGACTCCATCTGATTCTAAACTTTGCATCCTTTCCACCTTCACATGCTATCTTTACATTCCAGGGATGATCCCTTAGAAGGGAATCACATTTGGGAATGGGCTGAGCCATAATGAGCATCTTCTTAGTTGTGTAGCCATCTCCAGTGTCCAATTTGGGCTGCCATTTGGCTCAGATACCCCTGTGGACACTCTGGTTGGCCCCATTCAGTTTCTTTCTCGATTCCCTTAGCAGGGTCTGCCTGCCAGAGGCTACCTACCTGCTATGATCATCAGCCAGATACCCCCAGTTACTTGTTTCTACCCTGTCAAGCTTCAGCAGCTGCTGTGGCAACAGAAATCTTATGAAAACTTAAGCTCGAGCCCTGTAATCTAGGCTTTCTTGGTGCTAGCCACTCTTACCTTGCCTGGCCCCTTCAACTTCCTGATTCCCTAATTTTGAAATGGTGCTGCTATCAGCTTGTTTTCCTTGCTGTCTTGGTTCTTCCATCGCAATATGCTTTGTGACCAGTCTAAACCATTCATACAACACCCAGCTCCATCCTTCTACAGTCCGCAGCCCTGTTCTCATGTATGTACCACAGGTACTCCTAGCAGAATGCGTTCTAGTTCTAGACCCCTAGTTCTGCCTAGAATCCCATGTGCAACTGGACTTTTTAAACTGAATACTCTCTACTAATCTTCAGCATGTGGGCCCTGTCTCAAGTCCAGCCATTCCACACCCTGAATCTTCTTACCTTCACTGTAGCTCCTCCAGCCATGTCTTCTTATTCCTCCAGTTGTTTTGCCACTCACTCCTATCTGTTGTTTTAGCAGTGACACAGCCACGCGTAGAAGCCATTCCAGTAGGATCCTGACCATTGTTAATGATAATGTTGTTAATGGGGTACCAAGGAGTGATGTGAATCATGCTGAATGCTTACAACAGCAACAGGTGACCTGAGTGGCAGTGGCTGTACAAGGTGATAGAAATGATTGTCTGGTAGAAGACTGAATCCACTACACATTGCCTGACTGCCCTTCTGCTTTGGCACCTCTCTTATTTATTTCCCAAGCATCTTCTGGATGCACTGTGCTAAATGTTGATATGGCCAAGGAAGTGGGCATCTCTTCTTCAGCACTCAGTGTTCAGTGGTAGGTAGAGCCTTACAGATAGTATCTATCTCCAGGTTTCTTGTCACTCCCAAAGCCTTGCCTCTGTGGTAGAAGAGGCTTTCTTTTGTGAACTTGTTGATATGGTATCAAAGAGCATAAGAGGCAGGAGAGTCTGTGCTGGGCTCTGAGGGGGGTGCCTCCCTCATAGCAGTTGTGGTGACCACAATTCTCAAGCCTGAAGCCATTGACCAGGAGGTGGACGCAGCTTCTCCTCTCTGGAGTACTGTCCTGGCTCACAAGGCTCACAGCCCTGGCACAACGCAGGCCTGCAGACGGGTTTCATTTCACTATAGAAAAACATACAAGCAAGAAAAGGATGATGGATGTTGTCCAGTAAGAAAGAAACAATTTGCCTGGAGCAGTGATTTGCCCTGGTCTCAGACTGGATTCTAGAACAGCAAGAGTAAATGGTTAGGAAGCAAATACTAGCACTGGTGGCCTTTCTGCATCGTTACATTGAATGAGTCTTTGTAAAGAAATGGCTCAGAGGATGAGAGAGCTGCATGTGAAGTTGCCCAAAGAGGGCTCCAGGAGATTGGAGACAGGACAATGTATAAAGATAATGAAGTTGATGCTGACAAAAATATCAGTGATCTTCATTTTGTTTGTTTTGTTCTAGCACCATAAAGATGGAATTCAATTAAGTCATTAAGAAAAAAGATAATTAAGTCCACAGCTGTCCTTCCATGCAGTTTGTGCAATTGAAACCTTTCCTTGAACCCCTTTCTGATAAACCAAAGCTGTCTAATGCTCAGAACAGCCCAGGACAGAGTCAAAGCAAGCGTGCAGCTCCTGGCACTGCCTTTCCTCAGAGAATTGAACTTAGTAAACAGGAATGTCTGTTTACAATAGTTAGGAGATGCTGTATGTATACACACACACACACACACACAGCTAGAGTTAGCAAATAGAAGGCTCCTATCTTTAACCGTGATTCTGTGAACATAATATAGGAGCTTGAAAGTTTATGAAATGCTGTGCCTGTGATTGGGGTAGGAATCCTACTTGGGGGAGCTACTTACTGAATTTGATTTCTTGCCAAAGAACTTTGGAGAAAAGCAGTTTTTAATGGGGCTTCTTTAAGGAATGTCTGATTACAGCCTCTTCAAAAAACAACTACAAAAGCAATGTAAAGATGACTTAAATCATTTGTGATACTATCTAAACCATTAGCACTCTTTGACTATGTTCTTTTTAAAATGAAAAAATACATCAAGAAAGAAGGATACTCCTTTTATAACTATCCCATGACAACTGAGTGACATATTAGTCTACAGACAGAAACTTTATTCACAGTGGTGACTGTCAGGAGGAGGAGGAAGTTAATTACTTGAGCCTAGTGCCATGAGACTTAATAGAGGCCTTGAAATGTGTTTGTTCTCAATTCAATATAGCTCCATCCACTATAAAGCCCATATGGTTGTGACTCACCTCTGGGCTCCTGAAAGTATAGGAAAGTACAAAGAAAAGGGTTTTTTCCTCTAAAGCTTTTCTACCAAGTGTTCCTGGTTTCTCTTGCAGACTTAACAAACCTGATTATTCGGCAACGTTTACAACTTTATTAATGTTGATGAATAGACGTAAGTACTGTGAGGTTGCCCATGCACAAACTGGCTATGGAAGAGCATTCTTCAGTTAGCCCCCAGGAAGTGCTGTGTCAGCTAACCTCAGTATCGGTAACTTCTGTGGTTTAAGAAAACAAAAATTATATGTTCGTTAGCAGGTGCAATTCTTGAGTATTAATTTAGAAACTGAATGAATTCTTAACCAAGAAGACTTGGCAAATGACACTGAGATTATAGAATATCCTACCATATAGTAAACCCAGTTAGTAGAGAGTAAACTACCATATAGTAAACGCAGTTAGTAGAGAATAGCTTCCTACTAACA